TGTCGTTTCAAGCAGCACTGAATGCTGGCAAAGCCAGGGCCAATGCCTGTCATGCCTGGGAGTTCGTGAGACAGTGGTGGCGGCTGTTTTTGTAGGTTTCTGAGACAAGCTCCAACGGTGTCCGGGTGGTGTGTGTTGCATTTGCCGAGGAGTGGTGTATTGAAGTGGTTCATATTGTGTTTGCAGAGAGGTGGTGCGTTTGAGCGACTCTGTGGATGCACGTGTGTCCGAGTTGAAGTCGGTTGCGTTGCGTGAGTTGTGGCGTGTCTGAAACTGTTGGCTGCTATAGAACTGAATGCCCTTGACGCGACCGGGACCTGAACACTGGCCGCTGGTGAAACCAGGGCCAGAGTTGACTACGCTCAGTCATGCCTGAGACTCCCACGAGACCGTGGCGGTGGCTGCTTTTGTAGGTTTAGGGCGCAATCGGAAATGGTGTCCAGTTAGGTGTGTGCTGCATTTGTCGAGGGGTGGTGCTCATGCGGCTCATTTTGCATTTGTTGGTTGGTGGAGTGCTCAGGCGATGCTTTGGCTTCTGCGATTCTGTAGACGAGTATGTGTCCGAGTTGAAGTCGGTCAAGTGGCTGCAAGTCAGTGCGCCCAGAATCTCTGGTTGCTGAGAAAGGGGACATGAAGAAGAACGCCGGACATGGCCATAATGGCTGTCGACAAAAAACGCATGTCTCGTTCTCTCTTGACTCACTTGCCTTGCTCGGAGATGTGATTCTAACTGCGAGTCTCGATTTCCACCTTGTCTCGAATCAGGTGACAACATTTCTGGCCGGTTGTCCGTCATGTTGTCCAAGGAGGAGAGATCATGCTCTGCTACCTGTTGGCAGTAATGCAGTTCAACTTCTTCTGCTTCTCTTTGAGATCGGGCCTGAAGGTCAACCTATGACTTTAGGCGCCAAGACTGCCATCCTGGCAGCGTTCATCCTAGCCTTCCGAGGAAGGAAGCAGCTGTTGCGCCATCCATGGCGGTCGTCAGGTTCTACTGAGTCATGATAACGCGTGATGAGAAAACGACTCGAATTTGCTAGCATCACTTGCAGACTTTCATATCATCATTTCCATAGGTATTTTCGCAACAAGAATGGGGACTCAAAGTAATGAAGAAACTACGAGGAGGGAAGACGTCTGTCTGACATCCTCATCTAGTTAAGTCCACCGGTTACACGGTGTGGCTACCAAGTAATTCACCAGCTTGTGGACCATATTTGCCCACCATGTTTATCAACTGCAGTACCGTAGAACGGTAAATCAAAAATGTAGATGAAATACACTGGTCGTTCAACCACAACGTGAGTCCCCCTAAACAGCCCTCCGTACCACTGAAGCCCCTGCACACAGTGCACCTCATCCTGGATTTCCGGGAAAGGCTTTAAATGTCAGAGATTCCGACGTACTTTGTCTAATCATTGATGGTGTTTCCAAATGCGAACAAAAGTAAGCACAAGCTGCAACAGGTCCACTCACCAGCAGTCAACCGACACTTCTGCTGTGAACGTAAAGCGTGGTCTCCTCAGGTGACGTTAAACTCTCTACAACCGAGCGAAAGTTTCAACTCTATGGTCGGAAAATCAAGGAGAAGTCAGACATTTGAAGTATGCAAAGCGTTCCTAGAAGCCTACAGACTAAATATGACAGCTAAACTTGTATTATAGGTCGATCACTGCCTCGATTGAATGAAGAGCAAACAATGCAGCGTTTGTCTGTAAAAGAATCCTTCAACCACCTTGATTAACGTAAATAGCAAACCGTGATCGATTTACCTGGTTAGGCGACAGTGGCGAGGGTACGGTTTATGCCCGGGGTTACTTAATCCAGGGAGCAACTGTGTTGGGGAAAAGAGCTGAACATCTAAGAACTTTGTGGTATCAGAAACTGTGATCCTCCACAATGTTACCAATTAAGAGGTAAAACCCAGACTCCGCTGCTTTATATACAATGGATTCGAGTCAACTGTGTTACAGTTAGTGCTATCGCTTCGGCCGATTTCAGAGGTTTGCCGGGTTAATTTAGGAAACATAAATCAATTAAGCCCAAAACATTTAAAAATATTCATTAAAGGGGAAATTACCAATGGGCAACAAGGCTGTTCCCCCCTACAGTCTAGCTCTCTTTTGTTAATACCGGCGATCGCACTGCATAGTGTATCCTAAGCCCGCAAGCTCTGTCAGATTATCGACTTGAGTGACCTGGAGGTACACATGGTCTACGCAGATCATATGACACTGAAGTTATTATTAACAGGACATCTCACTGTCCTTTTAAAATCCAAGCAGTCTTTTCACCTAGAATTTTGATATCACAGAATACCCGGTGCAATTAAGTAAAATGACGACTCTAGGAGTCTAAGTAAATTCGGTGTTCACATATGGTCTGATTCTGTACTTCGGCATCAAATCGGAGCACACGGTTGACCCAGGTGGCCAGCGGCCCAACTAATCGGAATATAAGGCTTCCTGACTGAGCAATAGGCAGCCCATCTCTGATGGGGGACATTTCTCGGAGGCTTCCCTTCTACGACTCTTTAGGGATACCTCAGACCCCTCCGACGTAGCTTAGGCCTCAACTTCCACAAGGGTTCCTGACTCTAATGCATAAAACAGGTTTGCATGAATTATCCTCAAATAGGCTCATCAGTCATTCTTTCGACCAGTAAGTATATTTATTGAACTTTACTTATTTATGAGGCGGTCGAAAGGTGTAATTAACTCCATAAATTAACGTAAATGGCGAAGAGTTTGCTATCCTGGAGCAGCTTTCGGCATTGTAACATAGTGATTCCGTTGATGGAGGCAAATGATCTGAGCCAAAGAGCCCAGACAGTCGACAAAGCACAACTATTTTAGTTCTTAATTGTAAAGCCGGTTAACCATGTGTACAAGACCTCTTCGCTTAACTACGCCACGTGGTAGGTGTGCCGGAACAACACGGGGACTAGATCGGAGTCTGACAGGCGTTACCAGGAATACGAATCCATGACAAATGCAAACATTGGCGGCATGGTGGCACTCCCAGGTACAGACCCACATCGCGCCAGTCGGGAGCCGAACCACCTCCAGTTTGTTCTCGTATAAAAAAACCATAGGTGAACAAGTATCCAGTTCGATTGCGACAAGATATTTAAGGTGATCAGGCTATGCTACCACATTAAATATATGGTGAAGGGGTGTTTGTAAAACTTTTCCCGACGGTGCTCCATGTATCCAAATCTTCAAGTTGGCCTGTGCCATATAAAGGGTACTTTATTTGGGAAAGATGAGGGTGCATTTTATGACGCCGTTGCCAATGAGCCATCCACTCAAGCAGGACTGCCGTAGAGCACAGCCCAGCAAAAGGCCTTACTTCAGCTTAAGCCCGGCCGAGTCGGGTGTTGGTCATCAGCAGCTTACGATGCTTAATAAAAGGCTGTGACATTGGAGTCTCGTCTTGCGTCCGTCGGTCGGTGTTATTGCACAAAATTAAGCAAAACCTGTCCATCGCATCTTGAACGGTGCAACTACGGAAAGAATACGGCCAATTCTCAGCAAACCGTATTGGACTGTAGACTGCTGGCCAACAGCCGCGAAGGATGTTTTAATATTATTTTTTTCCAAAGGACTGCTTTTAAACGTTACTGGACCTGTGCTGTTTAATTTACTTGGTTTTCCTGCAAGAACAGGCATTTTGTGCATCTAGAACTTGGGTTTAATCACTTACATCGATTTTTGATCTGTTCGGAATTTTCTCCTTTCCTAAGACTGATATTTCGAAACCATGTAGTATTAATTTCAATATCCCGTTTGTGTCTTTAATTTATTTAAAGTCGTTCATTTTTATTTCAAAGCCTTGTCAAATTCGTTTGAGTGAGTGATTAGCAACCTTTCGTAAATTTCGGTATTGTGCATGAGATAGGTCACATACTGCATGTGTCGGCGATCATACTCTGAATACGGAACCAAAATCCATTGCCAAATGTGCTGTCTGAAACCAGTGAAAACGCGTTGATTTATGCCTGTTAATATAATTAAAGTCAACTTTTATTGCTCATGGCAAAGCATAATGGCGGGGGTGTAGGGCGTAACCCTGGGGTCTTCGATCTGCAGGCTGTGAAATAAATCTCAGCTTTGCCGAGCGCTAATGCGAGTTTAGAGAAACAGCTGTGAAGGAGGTTTCGTCGCTGGGAGAAGGATTATATTCGTCCGGTGTTTCCAATTCATGCGTCTAACTCAACACCACTCGTCAAATACTGCTTTTGGTGACAGAACAGCCGGGTCAAATGACTGGATAATAATCACATCAGTTAGTAGCACCAGGTCTGAACATGCCCTTATTACATCAAGTACACAAATCTGCGATGAATTATGCAGTTGGTAATTTTCACAGGCGTGTTGTGGCGTAATAACCACATCGTGTAAATACTGTATCTCCTGTGCTCGCTACCATAATCGGTTAATTTTTGTGCTTTAGATAATGGATGTGAAACGCCTAGCGAATCAGATTTTATTTGCTCAACTGCCTTTGTAAACTTTCTTGCCCATACATACCCTTGGCTTCTTGAAGGCAGTCTGTCCTGCCCAGTACAACCGCGGAACACCTCATGTCCGCTGGCACGATGACGAGTTCTTTGTCGGCCTTAAGTTCTGTAAGGTCATCACGTTCAGCCTTTGAAAGCACCTCCCTCGGCCATGAGGAAAGACGACACGCTGCCACGCGAAATAACTGCTACGTACGTTGGCCGTGGAGAACACGAATGCAATAACAGCGACAGGCAGACACATGGAGAGTCCCAAAGACACGGCTTTGTCCCCCCTGAGATGCAAAAAGAAGGCGCTGCTCTCCATACCAATTATGTTGCAACCGAATATTCACTGTACCGGATAGTCCCGATTGTTCGGCCCGCCAGAATCCTACTGTTCACCGCATGCCAGCAGTCGAACAATCGACCTACCCACCCGACTAAGGTTTACGCGACCTTGCGAGTACATAAGAACCCAGACGTGTGGCTGGTAGGAATGACCGACAGTTCCACCTTCGTTGTCGACGATATCGGCCGTGTGTCCCATGGCAGGGTGAGAGCAAGGATGGCGACTTCGGCGTGCATTGAATAACAGTGATAGTGGACTTGCACCACATCTAGCGCACTAGCTCCTCCTCCCCACCCCTGGCTCGGCGCCAAGACAGAGTCAAGACGATTGGGAGACGGAATAGTGCACAGGTGGTTCGCACGGCAAAAACTCGCACATGAACGTACCACCACACGCCATGGTCCACAACGCACGCTGACAAAGGATAGGAATGACCGATACGCAGCTAGCCGTAGGACAAGGGTTTACTAACAGTCCCCTGTCCCAGGTATTGTAATTCACCCGGTTCCGCATAGGTAAAGTTGACTGGCAGACAAAACGGCTACGTCGGGTGTGCAGTATGGCGATAAAAAAAACAGCCCACTGCGACTGACACAAGGTTGAATGTTGAGGATGCAAACACATCAAGCCCACAGAAGTGCGAAGAGGCAAACAGGAAGACTGCGGTGATGCACGCATTATCAAGCGGTTCTCTCTCCCTGTGTTTGTGTGTGTGTGTTTTGCCCCACAAACGGACCACGTGTTAGATGCGCTGGACCAACACGGGGGACACAACGGATTCTGGCCGGCGTTACCTTTGCGGAATAACAAATTCCAACATGCAGGGGGTGAGTTGGCAGTCCCTGTTGTCGGCAGCCATCGCACAAATGGAGTCACTACCACACCCTCCATTGTCGTGCGGTAAAATCCTGGTCATTTTTGTGTGGACCAGGGGGTGCGGAGTGGAGCGCCAAGGCGAGGATCCGTCCGAGCCATCCACCTGCGGCCTCCCTCGTCTCCGGTCTTCTTGGCTTAGTCTTGACACCGGGCTCAGGCGGGACAGGAGGAGAGAGTGTAGGTAGATGCAGCGAAAGTCTACTGGCACTATAAACCCCTGCGCAAGTCACCGTCACTGCTCCCACCGCTGCTGCAGCTGTGGGGCACACGGTGGACATCATCGAAATCGACGGTCGAAGTGTCGTATATGTGTGTGTCGGGGAGTAGGGGTGTCCAGCGGTGGGTTCACGTGATGGTGGTAGTGGTCGCTCACTTGCTTGCAGATGAGACTACGCCTAGCGTGTATTTGCTGGCACCCACCTCTCACATGTAGCTCCATGTAGCTGGGCTGCTGAGCGGCCACACCCCGGGTAACCGCCTCGACCGGCGGGCTAAAGCAGGTGAGGGGGCCTTGTGCGCGGTGTGCCGCGTTTACAGATTATTGCGGATTCCGCTGGATGGATGGTCGGACGGAACTCCGCGTCGGCATCGTCGTGACGAGACTCCGTCTGATACGCCGCTGACAGCCGGTGACGGGATGGATCTCTACAACGACATCGCCTGACGCGCCCACATACGCCGTCGGCGACCGCGGCTTTATGCAACTTCCAGTCGTTCTCCACTACGAACAAAAAGTCGTGGCCCCATAGTGGAGTTCGTCCGCACCAAAACGGCATCTGGGCAGCCATACTCTGGGGTGACACTGCCTGCCCTCACGACGGAAGTGCATAGAAAACGTGACCTAAACATTCCTGGGCACCACGCTGTCTGCAGGCTAGCCAGGATCGCCGATATCATAAACATGGTCGAAACAATCAAAATCGAAATAACAACAGCAACCACAACAGCAGAAACAGCAACAACAACAACAACAACACTCGCTATCCTCCTCATCATACCTCCTCTTCCTCTGTCTATTCTTCTGCCTATGCTTCTCCTTCGTCACCTTCTCCTTCAACTCCTTCCCGCCGCCCCACGCGTCGCCAGACTGGCAGGGTGAGTCTGCTCACTCTGGCAGCCTGAAATATTCGTTCCATTTTAGACAATCCGTGGAGAACCGTTGGTGTCAACTGCGAGACACGGTTCAGTCGACGGCGCTCGCCGTCTTCGGTCGCGCTCCCCCCAACACCAGGAGTGGTTCGACGACAACGACGCCACCATCAGAAATCTGCTTGCTGAGAAGAACCGCCTACACAAAGCCTACGTAGATCACCCCACTGATGCCACCAAAGCTACCTTCTACCGCAGTCGCCGCCAACTTCAGCAACGACTGCGAGAGATGCAGGACGCCTGGACTGCTCGCAAAGCTGAGGAGATCCAAGGATACGTGGACCACAACGAATGGAAGAACTTCTTCTCTGCGATCAAAGCAGTCTACGGTCCGCCGACGCAGGGCACTATTCCTCTCCTCAGCGCCGACGGCCGTACCCTCCTGACTGAGAAGACACAAATCCTACAGCGATGGGCCGAGCATTTCCGACGCGTCCTCAACCGCCCCTCCGCCATCTCCGACGACGCCATCACCCGTTTGCCGCAAGTGGTGACCAACGTGGACCTCGACCTCCCGCCATCTCTCCAGGAAACTATCAGGGCCGTGCAGCAGCTCTCTAGCGGGAAAGCACCCGGATCGGACGCGATCCCTGCTGAGGTCTACAAGCACGGAGGTCCCCAACTGATGGATCACCTGACAGCGCTCTTCCAGGAGATGTGGCGTCAAGGTGAAGTCCCGCAAGACTTCAAAGACGCAACAATCGTGCATCTCTACAAGCGCAAAGGGAATCGCCAAGTCTGCGACAATCACCGCGGCATCTCCCTGCTGAACATCGCCGGGAAGATCTTCGCTCGCATCCTGCTCAACCGCCTCAATAATCATCTGGAACAGGGCCTTCTGCCGGAAAGCCAATGCGGCTTCCGTCGTGGGACCACGGATATGATCTTCGCAGCCCGCCAACTTCAGGAGAAGTGTCAGGAGATGCGGACCCACCTGTACTCTACCTTCGTGGACCTGAAAAAAGCCTTCGACACGGTGAATCGTGAAGGGCTATGGGGGATCATGCAGAAATTCGGCTGTCCGGAGCGATTCAGTCAGATGGTGCGTCAGCTGCACGACGATATGATGGCGCGAGTCATGGACAACGGAGCTGTCTCAGAGGCATGCGCAGTGACCAACGGAGTGAAGCAGGGATGCGTGCTGGCGCCTACCCTCTTCAGTCTTATGTTCTCTGCCATGCTGATGGACGCCTACCGCGACGAACGCCCTGGGATACGCATCGCCTACAGGGCGGATGGTCACTTTCTGAATCAACGGCAGATGCATTTCCAATCGCGCGTATCCACAGCCACCGTTCACGAACCTCTTTTCGTCGACGACTGCGCCCTGAACACCATCTCGGAAGAGGATATGCAACGCAGCATGGACCTCTTATCTGCTGCCTGCGAGAACTTCGGTCTGGTTATCAACACACAGAAGACGGTGGTCATGCATCAACCGCCACCCAACTCAGCCACACCCCTCAAGGAGTCGCGAATCAGCGTGAATGGGACCCAACTGCAAGTGGGGGAGAACTTCCCCGTACCTAGGCAGTACCCTTTCCCACAACACCAAGATCGATGACGAAGTCGCCAACAGGATCTCGAAAGCCAGTCAAGCCTTCGGCCGCCTCCAAAGCACAGTTTGGAATCGTCACGGTCTCCAACTGAGCACGAAGCTGAAGATGTACAAGACCGTCATCCTGCCGACGCTGCTGTACGGAGCGGAGACTTGGACGGTGTACACAAAGCAGGCACGCCGACTGAACCACTTCAATCTCAGTTGTCTTCGTCGCATCCTGAGGCTGAACTGGCAGGATCGAATCCCCGACACTGATGTACTGGAACGGACAGGAATCCTCAGCATCTACACCATGCTGAGACAAATGCAGCTGCGTTGGAGCGGCCACCTGGGGCGCATGGACGGCGAGCGACTCCCCAAACGACTCTTCTACGGAGACGTCATGACGGGCTCTCGCCGCCAAGGTGGTCAAATTCGTCGATACAAGGACACTCTGAAGTCCTCCCTGAAGCGTCTGCAAATCAACCCGACCAACTGTGAAGAGCTCGCCAGCGATCGTCCGACCCGGAGGACAACAGTGAAGACGGGCGCTGCTATCTACAACCGCATCGTCGTCGACAAAGTGAAACGCGAAGGACGCAAATCACAACTGTGCCCACTACGTAACGCCAACACACAACCGCTACGTACGTGTCCTCGGTGTCAACGGACATTCCGGGCTCGAATCGGACTTGCTGGACATCTTCGGATCAACTGCGCATCTCGGACTGCACCAACCGTCGTCCCGCCGTCCGCATCTTCCCCGTCTTCTCTGCCGCCAACTAACTCTGACAATACTTCTGAACAAACACTTTCATCTTCCTCCTCCTCCTCCTCCCCCTCCTCCTCCTCCTCCTCCTCGGCCTCCTCCGCCTCCTCCGCCTCCTCCGCCTCCTCCGCCTACTCCGCCTCCTCCGCCTCCTCCGCCTCCTCCGCCTCCTCCGCCTCCTCCTCCTCCGCCTCCTCCGCCTCCTCCTCCGCCTCCTCCTCCTCCGCCTCCTCCGCCACCACCACCACCACCACCGCCACCACTTCCTCCTCCACTGCTGCAACGACGGCCGCTCAGGCGACTGACACGAACGCAACAACCGACACCACATCCACTGCCTTCGACTCCAGAGATGTTGATCAGGACTACACCTGCCCTCACTGCGACCGCACCTTCAACTCACACATCGCCCTGGTTGGTCACTTGCGAATCCATCGCACAGACACTAGCGAACCAGTGTCAGAAGCATCAACCTACACCCACCAAGCTCGCCTCACTGCCCACACTGTCCTCGCACATTCACGCATCGCATGGGTCTATTCGGCCACATGCGCATTCACGTGAAAGGAACTGACCGCAATACTGACTCATCCATCACGCCAAACCCAAGCCCCACTTCATCATCCAGCGCCCCCACCGCACTTCCTGCAACTGACCCCGACTTCACCAGCCCACATTGTCCACGCACATTCACCTCTCTCATCGGCCTGGTCGGTCACTTGCGAATCCATCGCACAGAGGCTGGCTATCCAGTGACTGGAGAACCAACATACACCCACCGCACTCGCATCCACTGCCCACAATGTCCTCGAACCTTTACGAATCGCGTGGGTCTATTCGGCTACATGCGAATCCACGGGAGCGGACATGACCGCAATTCCGACACACCAACCACATCCCACACATTCATCATGCCCAGCCCCACCCTAACTCCATCGATCTGCGCACCCATCACCACCACCACCGCCTCCTCTGCAGCAGACACCGACACCGACGACTTCACCTGCTCACACTGTCCACATTCACCTCTAGCATCCGCCTGGTCAGTCACTTGGGAATTCGTTGCACAGAGACTGGCGAACCAGTGCCTGGAACACCAACATACACCCACCAAGCTCGTCTCCACTGCCCACACTGACCTCGCATCGCATGGGCCTATTCGGTCACATGCGCATCCACGACGACCTGCGGTAGACAACCGCCAGCTAAACCACATAATAACACCCTCCTTCCCTGCCTCCACCACCATCACCACAAACACCATCACACCAACAGTCAACCACTGCATGCACCCAACTGCCACCTATCACGCAAGTGAGAAGTGTGCATCTCCACTCGGGCAGCATGCGACTTCGGCTGCAGGGGTGACTTGAGTCCGAGACTATCCCGACACGTCAAGCGTCGTGGATAGGATGGCTGCTGATTGATGCCCCCACTCGGTTCACGCAGTTCGTCGCGTCGTGTGTGTGTGTGTGTTGTGTGGAGTGGCGGACTTGTGGACTGGGGACGGGCTAAAACAGCACCTTCCACGGCCCTCTCACGCATGTGAGAGACACGCCGTGCAACCCCCGTTGTGTGAAATCCTGGTGTTTGTGTGTATGGGGGGCCAGATCGTGCACGTGGCGCACGCAGGCATGGTCAGTCGACCATGCAAGCCACCGCGCCCATTTCCCACTCCAGTCTGCTGACCGGCTCGGACAGTGGCTGGGGTGTGGGAATGGGAAGGGAGAGTGAGGTCGACGACTCAGCTCACATTCCTCACTATAAACAACCTGACGCGCGTGAAGCTACCACGGTGCGCTAAAAGCCGTGGCTTGGAAGTCTGCCAACTGACGGGATAACATGGACTTCCTCCTTGACTGGTGGTGGTCTGAGAGTCAGGCTGCAATGGCTCCTTCTTAATGTGGCCTTTATGGCACTCCCACCATAGTGTGGGATCCGAGTCAGGCGTCGGCGGCACGCCTGGGTGCGGCTTCGGCCGTGCCAGCCTCCATTCTCTGCTGTGTTGGTTGAAATCCTGGTCATTTTTGTGTGGACCAGGGGGTGCGGAGTGGAGCGCCAAGGCGAGGATCCGTCCGAGCCATCCACCTGCGGCCTCCCTCGTCTCCAGTCTTCTTGGCTTAGTCTTGACACCGGGCTCAGGCGGGACAGGAGGAGAGAGTGTAGGTAAATGCAGCGCAAGTCTACTGGCACTATAAACCCCTGCGCAAGTCACCGTCACTGCTCCCACCGCTGCTGCAGCTGTGGGGTACACGGTTGACATCGTCGAATTCGACGGGGAACTGTCGCGCGTGCGTGTGTGTGTTGGTGTATCTGTTTCGATCTGGCAAGCGCTAACGTGGCACGTCAGTCTTTGGATTACAGTACTTGAGATACAGCGCTAACGCCTCTCAGGACTTCAGGCATGATGCGACAAGTCACATCCTACGCTACCACCCACCGGCGAACAGCAGGCGTCGAAACGCGCTGAGCACAGGCTAACTTCCGGGGGCGTGCACTCAACTAGTTAAGACGACTTAACTTAGGCTGAAATACTGAGGTGCAGATAGCAGTGTCATGCAGATTTTATGCAGCCCAGCAGGTTGGTTTTCCACTGTGAGTACTTCCGGCACAGGGGGAAGGTGTGAGAATAACTTCTTGATTAGTCACACACTGCACTTTCCACCATTCCTCCGCAGTAATTTCCACTCGTTCTAAACATTAACACCAACAGGGGCTGGAAACAACCGAGTTAGACACCTCTGAGGAAATGACTTGAACGCCTTCTGGGAGGAATTGCACAATTGCCTTCAGGTTGTCAGGTCGACGACAATTTATGGGGGCACGTAGCTGCGTAACATAATGGCTTATTATATTTCTTGATATCTTCTTTAGTTTAAGAACTTAATGGCGCGGATAACGTATCTACGAACTACCCGCTGCTGGCAGTAATGAAGATGTGATCTAATCAATGGAGTCAGTCTAGGTGTTCACACAAAATTTGGGGCTTGAGCTGAGCAGTCTGACCGACTTATAGTCAGTGACCGATCTCATGAAATGTTTGTCGAAATTCTGAAATGCTTGTTCTATTAGAAAGGCCTACTTACAACACGTGATCTAATAGATGAAAGGTGCTAATCACTCGCAAACCAACACCAAATGCATGGACTTA